GGTTTTAAATAAGTTCGTATGATGTTTTAGGACTTGTTGGTGTATTTGGTTGAGGTCCCGAGGACCTTGGGTGAGTTTCAGATGGTTAACGAATCAAAAATGGGACTTAAACAGCTGCTGCAAAAAAAGCTGCTGTAATTTTTCTTCTGCTGAGCAATCGAGCCCAGAATTCGAGCCCAAAAATCGAAGGCCAGAAATCGAGCCCAGAAATCGAGCCGAGGATCGAAGGCAGGCTCGATAGCCATGATCGAAGGCCACTGATCGAAGGCTCAAGATCGATGCCATGATCGAAGGCAAGGCTCGAGGGCCATGATCGAAGGCCACTGATCGAAGGCTCAAGATCGATGCCATGATCGAGGCCATGATCGAAGGCCAAGGCTTGATGCCAGGATCGAGGCCTAGACTCAAGGGCCATGATCGAAGCCACGATCGAGGCCCAGTTTCGAAGACTGCCTGGACAAATTTATAAAAGAGGTGATTTCGTGCATTTGCCATTTTTGACGAACTTGAGCTTGAGCAGAAGCGATTTTTGAAAGATTTTCAAGGAAAAATATATGGGTAAGTGATTCTAACTCGGATTTGGTCAATATACATGAATATATCATTGTTTTCACCATTTAATTAGTGTATTGAGATGGAAATTTGGGAAACATTTTAGAAATCTCATAAAAATAAATTTTTGAGATTTCGGTGTCGATTCAGAGTCGGATTTGAGTGAAACTGGTATGGTTGGACTCGTAATTGAATGAGTTGTCGGATTTTGTGAGTTTTGCCGGATTCCGAGATGTGGGCCCCACGAACGATTTTTGAGCTAATTTCGGATTTTTTTTGAAAAATGTAGTATTTTCTTATGAAATTGATTCCTATAATTTTTGTTGACTGTATCGAATTAATTATGACTAGATATGAGTCGATCGAAGTCGAAAAATCGAGGAAAAAATATATTACTTGGTTAAATTAGAGCAAGTCGAGGTAAGTAACCTTTTTTTTTTTGTTGTAAAGTCAACTCTATTCTATTAAAATGATTTAAGCGAACAGAAAAAAGGTTAAATTGGAGCAAGTTGAAGTAAGTGACTTTTTTTTTTTTTTGGTAAAGTCAACTCTATTCTATTAAAATGATATAAGCGAACAGAAAATCATTTGCTCATAGTTCAAGATCCAGCTTCCATCGTCAGAATAGCAGTATTATGGGATAAAAAGTTTTGGAAGCAACTTGATCTAACATTCTCACATTAGATTTTGAACTAACACTCACACCTCTCCGCAATTAAGAAATAAAATTCAGCAAAAGGAGTACGACAATCTAAGCAGTCATTTTAAAACTTGAACAGAAAAGGAGATCAAAATCATGAAGGCAAGTGAAATATCCAAAGATGAAAACCTATCCCATATATAGCAGGGAAAACAGTCAAACTGAGATGAAATTCAAATAGTTATCCAATATCCTCCACCATAAGATAATAATCTCAATATGCAAATCTATTTTTCTACTGTTGCCTAGCTTCAACTTTCTTCTTCTGCCAGAGGCGATCCAATGCGCTGTCAGCATCACCCTGAGCACAGATGAAACCACAAAGAGCAAAGGTGGTGAAACTGCCAGGGATATACAATCCCTTATCATCCAAATGCCCAACATTAAGTTGAACAGAAGCATGATCCTTTGAAGTGATCACCCTGTTGGTAGCAGAGCATTTCCTGGGGATGTAAAGATCCACATTTTGTCCCTCTTCATTCTGCATCTTGGCTGGTGTTTCTGAATACTCAGATCAAGCTTTAACAACCTGAGGTAAGGGAGAGTTCTTCAAGGGGCAAGTAAGTTAATTGTCTAACCTTGTGTGGGAGAAACTTCCTCTAGGATTGGTATTAATTGTAATGTAATGAAAGTCGTGTACACGAGGTGACGAGTGTGTATACGAGTTAAATGTGAAGAATTATATTTTTAAATTGTGTAGATCACTGTTGCATATTAATTAAATTATTAAATCTTGTTATATTCTCCATCATTGATTTGATTTATATACTTTAATTTGCTTGGCCTTTTTCCTACTAATTGTCTTACCTGTTTAGTTGGGATTTGGTTTCTTTTATTCTGTGCATTATTTGAAGGTTGATTTTCTTTAAAATAAATAATATTAATATGAAGTATTTGACATTTTAAATTTGATATTGAAGCAACGTATTAAAGATTTTGAAATATTATTTTGCTGAATTATTTATTCCTGAATATTTGTGTAAGATTTTTGTGCTCATTGTGATGGAGCCGTGAGCTCTTTATTGTGAAAAAATATTATTGATGATTTATTTTGGCATGAGCCGTGAGCTCTTTATTGTGAAAAAATATTATTGATGATTTATTTTGGCATAAGCCATGGGCTCTTTATTGTGAAAAATATTGTTGTTGAATTATGTTGGCAAGGTAAATTATTTGAGCACTTGAGGTGCAAATTTTGATATATTGTGATATTGATACGCATGCGGTTGTATAAGGTCTGGGTATTGAAACGCATGCGGTGAGATAAGGGTGGCTTGATACGCGTGGATAGTAGGGGAAACTACTAGAAGTCATGCTCGGTGTGATAAGGATGGCTAAAACGCGGGATGCTATTTCGAAAAAAAAAATATTTTCTTTAAAATAAATTGTGAAAGCTCTCGCGGTGAGATAAGGAAATGAGATATTGTGAATTTATTTATGATTTGGGACTACGAGGCGGTACCTCGGGAGTGCCCTTGTTGATATTGATCTATAGCCGCAGTTGCCTTTAATTATTTGTTGTGATTTTCTTAAAGTTGAAAGAAATTCTATTTTGATTCCACGAGATATTATTTGCCATTATTTTGTGTAATTAAATGGTGACATGCTACTTGATTAATTTCCATTGTCATTTTATTTTATTATATTGTTAAACATTTTATCATGCAATTATTATTTTCCAGTAGGGCCTGACCTGACCTCATAACTACTCTATCGAGGTTAGGCTTGGCACTTACTAGGTACCGCTGTGGTGTACTCATACTATTCTTCTACACATCTTTTTGTACAGATTCAGGTACACCTTACCAGACCAGGCATTAGTAAACTAGCTGTACGAGGAGACTTCGAGGTATATTTGCCATCGTCCGCAGACTCCGGAGTCCCCTTCTATCTTACTATATTTTCTTTCTTATTTGCATTAGACTCTGATATATAGAGACATAGAGAATAAATTTTTAGAAGCCTGTGACTTATTTCTACCGGGGTTTTGGGAGTTGTAATTATTTGAATTATAGTTTATTTATTTCATATATTTATGATTATTTCGCATTGATAGGCTTACCTAGTCTTAGAGATTAGGTGCCATCACAACCTCCTACGGAGGGAATTTGAGGTCGTGACAGTAAGTTGCTTGCCTAACCTTGTGTGGGAAAAATTCTCTTAGGATTTGGTATTGTTGTGATATCTGAGCGCCGTGTACGTGAGGTGACGAGTACGTACACAAGCTATTTTTTGTAAAACCCGATTTATTCTACTGAGTAGTAACATGTTTTTCCTTTAATTTGAGTTATACTGTTTAAATGAGTATTAGTCTATTTTTTTCATTCTTAATTGAGCTATTCCAGTATGTGTAGTTATCATGTTTAGTCTAATGTCACATGTCTATGTGCTTTAACTGCTTATTTGAATTCTGTGAAGCATGCCTAGTTGATTTCCTGTTTTCCTTGTTCTTTATCAGTATAACTGTAGAAATCTTACTATTAATTGTTGTATTTATCGGTTTGAGGTGTGTATTTACTTTTGAGACTATGAGGCGGTACCTCGGGAGTTCTCCCTGCGCATTTACTTTTGAGACTACAAGGCGGTACCTCAGGAGATCTCTTTGCTTATTTACTTTGGGACGGTGAGACGGTATCTCGGGAGATCCCCTGCTGTTTACCCCTGTGTTGCATTGCTATTTTTGCTGTGTTTTCCCTTTTGTTAAATTCAAGTCTCTTAATATACTATTATATTCCCCTGCTTTATGTATTATATACCAGTAGGAATGACCTAATCTCGTCATTACTCGATCGAGGTTAGTCTTGGCACTTATTGGGTACCATTGTGGTGTACTCATGGTACTCTTCTGCACATATTTTCGTGTGCAGATCCAGGTTCATCATACCAGTCTCGCTATTAGTTGTGCATTTGCTGCTGTTCCGGAGACTTCAAGGTACATCTGCTCGCGTCCGCAGACCTCGAAGTCCCCCTCTATTCTTTCCTATGTCATTTACCTTCCGTACTTCTTTTATTAGACTCTGGTGTATAGAGACACAAGTTTCCTTCTGTAGCTTGTGACTTATGATGTTCCGAGTTTTGGGAATACTGTATATTACTAGAGTGTTGGTTATTGTACATGCCGAATGACATTGTTACCAGTTATTTAGTTATTTGTTGCAGTTAGTTGTTAAGTTTTACTTTCATTTTTGTTATCTCCGTATTTTGTTAGGCATACCTAGTCGTAGGGACTAGGTGCCGTCACGACGTCTTACGGAGGGAGAATTGGGTCGTGATAGGGGTCCACCTAGATCTGCACACGAAATGCAGGGTGTAGTATGAGTACAACCAACTCAGTAAGTAACAATAATAAATAAGAACTGAGAATAGTGACGAGCTTCATAACTAAGTCCAAATACAACAATATTTTACATAAAAGGGTAGGCATGCTCTCAAGTTCAACATTTAAAATTCCACTATAATTTTATATCAACTTTGGACTGAAACAGAAGATAATGTCTTTCAGAAATTTCCAAAACAGTGATATATGACTGCTGAAATGCAGCAATAATGAAATCAATGCATCTTCTCAGAGTAACAATCACTCAATCCTCCCATTCACTCCAACCTCACAGTCACTCTTTCCTCACAAGCACTCATTCCTCTCAATCACTCAGCACTCGCACTCAGTAGGTACATGCGCTCACTGGAGGTGTGTACAGACTCCAGAGGGGCTCCTTCAGCCCAATCGCTATAACAAGTCAATCATGGCATAAATCAATCAACCATGCTGCGGCGTGCAGCCCGATCCCATAAATAATATATATATATNGATGATATGATGTATAAATAAATAACAAGAGAGAATGAGATGTAATATGCAAGTAAAACCGTGACTGAGTAGAAAATAGTAATTTAACAGATAATTCAACATGTACACGACCCCTGTGGATCCCAACAGTGTCAACACATGGTTTAAACATGATTTATAGTTCAATTTCCCTAATACGTGGAAAAATGTACGGGTAACAACAATTTATTCAACTACACAGATCCATGGAATTGACCAAGTCACAATTCTTACAGCGCACGCCCACACGCCCGTCACCTAGCATGTGCGTCACCTCAAAACCAATCACATAACACATAATCTGATGTTTCATACTCTTAGGACCAAATTTAGAACTGTTACTTACCTCAAACTATGTAATTTCTTACTCTGCTATGCCCTTACCTCGTGAATTGATCTCCAAACGCCTTGAATCTAGCCACAAGCAGTACTGTACAATCAATATAGGCTAAAGGAATCAATTCCACAAGAAAATACAAAATTATAGCCAAAAATCCAAAATATGCTCAAACCCGGGCCCACGTCTCAAAATCTGACAAAAGTCACAAAACTCGAAAGCCCATTCACTCACGAGTGTAACCATACCAATTTTACTTAAATCCGATAACAAAATTCCATTCAAAACCTCACAATTCTAGTCCAGGAACTCTTCCTCATTTTCCCCAAATTTCCATCTCAAAACACTAATTAAATGATGAAAATAATGATATATTCGTGTATATTGACCAAATCCAAGTTAGAATTACTTACCCTGATGTTTTCCTTGAAAATCTCTCAAAAATCGCCTCTCCCCAAGCTTCAATTTGTAAAAAATAGAAAATGGGACGAAGTCCCCGTTTTATAACTTAAAATTTCTGTCCAGGCGCTGCCCCCTCGATTTCCTGACCCTCATTTCCAACCTTCGATTTCCAGCCTCGATTTCCAGTCTCAATTTCCAACCTCAATTTTTCCAGCCTCGATTTGTTTCTAGCCTCGATTTTTTCCACCCTCGATTTTTTAGCAGAAAAAATTCCAGCAGTTGTTTAAGTCCAAATTTTGATCCGTTAACCGTCCGAAACTCACCCGAGGCCCTCGGGACCTCAACAAAATATACCAACAAGTCCTAAAATATTATACGAACTTAGTTGAAACCTCCAATCCCATAAAATAACGCTAAAATCACGAATCATACCCCAATTCAAGCTTAAGAAACTTATAAATGCCTAACTTCTACATTCGATGCCGAAACCTATCAAATCAATTCCGATTGACCTTAAATTTTGCACACAAGTCATAAATGACATAAAGGATCTATGAAAATTTTTAGAACTAAATTCCGACCCCGATATCAAAAAGTCAACTCCTTTGTCAAACTTTCCAAAAATTCAACTTTCGTCATTTCAAGCCAAATTTCACTATGAACTTCCCAAATAATTTTTCGGACACGCTTTAAAGTCCAGAATCACCATACGGAGCTAATGGAATCATCAAAACTCCATTTCGGGGTCGTTTATATATAAGTCGACATCCGGCCACTATTTGAACTTACTATTTAAACCTTGAAACCAAGTGTTCCAATTAATTTCAAAACCTCACCGGACCCGAACCAATTACCCTATCAAGTCACACAACAACTATAAAGCACAAATTGAGCAGTAATGGTGGAACGGGGCTGAAATACTCAAAATGACTGGCCGGGTCATTATCGGTAGTTGTTGAACAACATCACTCCTAACGTATGTGA